CTTGTGGAAATTTTCAGTTTTACCTATTTCTAGTAAATTACAGAAAAGCGTATTTTAAATTTACAAAAAATATCACGAATTGTTTTTTCAAGAGCTAGAACTTTAAGAACGCACCTGGAAATGGCGACGTTTTTCATTAAAACTGCTAAATTATTATGCGCATAATAATGTTAGAGTTTGGCACATTTTGAAAATTTGGAGATTATTAGTAAGGTAGTGCGCTAAAGTAACCATAGTTTGACAGCACCCGAAAAAATGTGGGAAAATTTGTTGCTTTACGTATATTTATTGTAAACATAGTTATGAAAAGAAATTTTATAGTAAAGGCAATGCGAGTCATAAGTTGCACTTTTCATATTAATCCTAGCATTGCAATAAATCTTAAATATAAAGATCATAACACAATCAAGGCAGAAGTTAAAAATGAAAATTCGACGAACTTAGAGGGAGAATTTTAGTGTATCTGTTGATGAGTATTCTTCTTTGAAAAATAGATGGTTCATAAGTGGTAACATTATAAGCTAGTACATAAATGTGAACTTTTATGTGCTAGCTAAAGGTAAATTCTGGAATTTAAGAATAATGTAAAGCTTTTTTCTCGTGAAAGCTTTTGGTGATAACTTTTCGTGGTTTTCCCCATGTGTAGCGTGAATACGAGCCAACTCCCCTCAGAAAGTCCTTTACGAAGGCATACCCGCTCAGGCATAAACTTCCTCAAAAACCATTCTGGCGAGGAATAAATTTCTACTTTAATTAAAATTTATAAAGATAAAATTTTAAAGGGAATTTAACACAATCAAAGTCAACACTGCTTTGTTTAAATTCTCCCACTGGTCCAATATTGTTTATAGTAGCAATTAAAGCCAATATAGATCCTTTCAACTTATTTTTTAGATAGAATTTATTAACATCTATTTAGAAAAAGATGAAAAAGAGGACGTTGTGTTATATTCTTACTCCGCTCTAATTATAAATAAATTCTAAAAAATAGCAACTAGCCAATGATTTAAGGCTCTGAAAAATCATTCATACCAGTGATATTTAAAAGTTACGGTATTTAAAGCCCATAAAAAAGGAAACGACCCTTAGAGCGTCGACCTTTAGTTATGTACCATCAATTCACATTTTTTAAGAATTTTATCCACCTTGCGACCCCACTATAAATGTTCGCGACCGCGAATGGGGTCACGGCCCATAGTTTGAATACCACTGATTTAGATCATAAAATCGTCAAAGAATGCCTCATCTAGTAGTCTAATATTTTTTGATTAAATCCCGTATCACAGTTTTTTGTAGTCTGAATTGCAGAAAACTGTCTTCCTAACATAATAACGGATTAATTGAGCTAGTATAAGATGAGCTTGTTAACTATACATCCTCTTCAAGAATAGTTTTCTCCTTTCAAAACTTTACGCTATGAAATTAATTTTTATATGGTAATTTAATTACGGCATCTCCTTCAGTATATGAGTGAAAATAGGATGTGGATAGCACATGACTTCCTTGTACGGCCTATTAAATTGTACACATTTTTCTGCTCTTGATTTAAACTTATTTCTTCGAACTATGTTAAGTTAATTAATCGATATCTCAACGCAAGTTGGAAATGACGTTAAAAAATTGGAAATTTTGAAATTAAATACTTTTGTCAATTTTTGTCGTACGGCAGTAATAATTCTACTTTTCATAATGAGTATAAAAGTTTCCGAAGTATAAGCGACCGGAAGATCGCATTAAAAATTAGATTTCAATATTTGTCGAAAATGAATTTTTTAAAAATTTGATATTGCCGAAAGTTGAATATTTTTCTCGTTTAAAACGCTTCTGTAAATAAAAGTATATGATTACGACCAATGATAACGAAAATAAAGGCCAGGTTTAACCGGGAAAGAATGTGGGTATATGTAAATATATTTTACAGCTACATCTTAGAGTGTCATCTTTTTAACTATGCAGTAAAGCCTTTCCTAGTTATAATGCAAAGAACCATCGCTAATCCGCTGCAACTTTCTCCAAGTCATCCTGTTACATATATATGTAAGATAAAAAATATGTATATCAAAAATGTAATTAAAACTAACGGGGTAAACTCTTTAATTCTTCCTCTCTGCACTAAAAATCGTAATAACTTCTCTGGATTGTGTCATTTCTAAATCATTCTATTTTGCATGGCCTGCGCAGCGCTGATGACGTAATAATTGGAAACTGAAATTTTTTTAACTCGAAACAAAACTTTTCTCTTCGTGTGCTTCCATCTTGCATAACTACGCACTTTAGCTTCGCTCTCTGCTGTGCTAGGATGTAATTTCGCTGGTCTACTTTCTATCTCAACAATATCAAAAATGTAAATTTTCTTGAACACTCACGACTAGGGTGACAAGTGATTGTGGCCACAAAATGTCAATTGCAAATAAAAATGGACTTGAAACTGCTTCGACTGCCAAGTTTCTTAGATGTAACGATCTCAATACATTAGCATACTACGCAATCAGAATTCTTCCCTTTCAATATGAATAGGCGATCTATCCTAGCTGGGTATTACGCATCAATATTGCTCCGGCTTTTCCTTGCCGTGTTACATATATATATATATATATATATATATGAGTTATATTCATTTCATTATTTTGATTATATACGTACGTTTGGCACTGCCGATTGTAATGAAAAAGGGAGGTGCAAAACTAAATCTTGTGGCAGTTCTATGTACAAAATTTCACCGTTCTACGGCTAATCGTTTCTGAGTTATGCGAGATACATATGTACGTATCTACAGACGTCACGATAAAAATCCCCTCTGAATCCGTTTTAAATCCATTTTGAAATTCTTTTTGGAAAAAAGAGTCTTTTATCCTGTCCGTATGTATAGATGTCAAAAAAATCCTCCTAATGGATTCGGTATAGGTGAAAAGGGATATTTCCATTGAAATGTGATACCGGAAAGGTTTCACTTTTACAATATTTCCTTTATTTCGCACAAGGAAGTTGAAATGAAGGAACGTTTTTATATTTAAGCGTAATCATAGAGATATTAGATTTTTTTGAACGCAGGAAATTTGAAAAATAAATTTTACTCTGCAGAGATTCGAACAACGGGTTCGCGATGTTTTCGGTTGTAACCGAAGTACGGATCTTCCATTGCTAGCTAGATGTACTTCTATTTATATTATAACAGCACGTGGGAGAGGATGTGAAAAGTCTTTATATTCGCCTCACTTAAAGAAAGGTAGGAAGTTCAGTCAACTGAATAAAGGTGGTAACGAATTATCGTCCACCGCCTTTTAGTTCGGAACACCACTATAGAGACATTATGTTTTGGATGTAAGGAAGAGTGAAAAATTAACTGTGTTCTTCCCCAAATTTCAAGTGACAGATCATCCAATCTTCATGCTACTATTTACATTCTATGACAGCGTATATGAAGGGATGATATAATTTTTTATATAATTCTGTCGTCAGCATAATGCATGATGCGAAGCCAGAATCAAAGCCACATGATACAAAAAATAAAAATTACCAATGAAAAAATTCAATAATTTATGCAATATAATAAAAAAACTATGTATACTATATTTCTTTAACCAATAATGAACTTAAAAAAACATTTTTATGCATATCAATCAGAAAATTATTTAAATTGAAAGCAAACAAAATAATAAAAAAAAAGGGCTCGGTAAAGTATAAAATACACCGCATAAAAAGTAAATATATAAAAATAAAATAAATCTTTGTATATAAAGTAATGTCATATTGTTTTACATACAACTAGTTTACTTTATACGAAAAATTAAGGTATGCATGCATGTTTCCTAAACTTAAATTATATCAAAAACATTTTCCAAACTATAAGCTTTCACTTCGTTTATGTTTCCAAAATTAAAATTTCGATAGAGGAAAGTTATGTGTATTTAATAAAATCTCTTATTCAGAAGGTAGACTTCAGTGTTAAGGAATTATTGTTTGTTTTCTCTGAGCTATTTACACGTAATTTCGGGAAAAATATCAGAAACTGTGGTATATAGAACAACTGTCGTGAACATTGTGAGTTTAAGAGAAAATAATGAGCGGTTTGTTAAAATTTAGATCAGATGAAAGATCTTTTAATATATAGCATTTTAATACTATTTAGCGCAGTGTAATAGGTTCATTTTGAAATACGCAACATCCACAAAATGATCGTTATAACGGAGTTCGATCATCCATCTTTTGAACAACAATCTCTCTCGTTGCCATTCCGTAACAGAGAAACTTACCTCTCATGCAGTTTGATCGTGGTGCGACAACAACATTAAAAGCTTGGAATACTGCAGTTGTTGTGTATAGTATTTATAGTTATTGCAAAAAAACTTCTTAAACGTCATGTATTATTAAAATGCAAATAATTTCAACGCAATAAAGGGGAGAGAGAAGGGAATTCAGTGAACTCTGATTTATTTTCTCTGAAAAAAATATTTTACTCTGTAAAGTCGATGACTGAAATCATTTACTGAGTACTGCCATTCATTTTCTACTAAATAAATCTTTATTTCTAAGTAATCAACCAATGTAGTTAAGAAAAATCATTCCATATTCAAATTTTGCAAAAAATGATATTCACTTGCGATGTTTGACATTCTTAAGTTCCATTTAAAATAGATGATGCAAAAATTATTAAAAATCCAATATACTTAGGGATGTTTAAAAGTGCAAACACTACAAATTACGATATATAAGCAACATACTCTTTCAATTACTCTCATCCCGGATTCTTTAAGTATGCTTTAAGTTATCAATATTGAAAATCTTGCATTCACATTTATGCAATTTAATTAATAAGTCAATTGCGGCTTAATAAGCAAATTATGAAATTGCACCGAATGAAATCTCGGAAGAGAAATCGTCCCATATCGAGAGATAATGCGCCAAATATGGCAACCATCTCTACTCTGCGCACTATTTTCTTCTGAGAGAACACCGGCGTGGCGTGGGTGTCTGCTGCTTCTTTGCATCGGTAAAGTAGCGCAGGTAGGCTGCCAAGCAGGCGTGACTGGCGCTATAAAGAAGACTGACCTTGGCCTTCAAAGCTATTTGTTGCTGCAATATCGAAGGAAACTTCTTTAAAAGAATCTTTCTTGATCTGAAGATAAATTAATATCTAGAATTGGATTTTGATGAGCAGGTATGACCATACAGAAAACTATATAATATTTAAAACTTTTTATTGATTCTTGCAATGCTGTAGTAAGTTAATGAATATAGATGCTATATTCAGTATAATTTATAAAATTTCTATATTGATATATTTTATAACAGTAATGGTAAAAATTCATTTTACATTATGAAATACTTTAAATAAATGGTAACTTTTGATTTTTTTGTAATGAAATTCAAATTTTGTCAAATGTGTAGTTCAAATTTTTGTCGAAATTTAGTGCAATATTTTTTCCTCTTCCTCCTTCTTCTTTGAACTATATATATATTTGAAAAAGGAAGAAATGATAAATTAACTTTTAAATAAAGAATTTAGTGTTTCAAATGAAACTGAATAGAATGATTTGCAGTGTAATAAAAATAAATAATTCTATTTTTATAATACTTTTAGATCCATCGTATAGATATAGAGTCTGCGTACTCATTTTTTATAATAATTTGAGGTTGGATATCAAATTTAAAAATCTAAGTAATGTTAATAAAAGTATAATAAACAAAAACAATCTTAATAAGAAAGATAATCGAAAACCAAAAATAATTGTTATTTTCTTTGCTATTTTTATTAATTTCTGTAAAATCACGTTATTGAATAATAAAAAAAAATCAATGAACAGTCTTGATTGTAAAGGTATATAACTTTCTTCTAAATTAACGTCCCTGTATTGTTTCAATTTTTTATAAATGATAGTAATTTAAAACATTATTTTATAAATATAGTTTCTTTACGAAGAGCTAAGTTAGTCGTTGTAAAAGAAAGCTGTTTATTTCTTAAATTTAATCAGTTTTATTTTTTGAGAATATACTCATATTTCCAAAGCGTAATATATTTATTTATATTTCATTCATTGATATTTCATAAACACATAAATTTTTCTGAAAATAAAATTCCTTTTTCAAAATAATATAGTCATATGTCTTGCCTTTGTTAGCAAGTATATTATTGAAGAATTCTGAATATTTAAAAGTTTACAGACAAGTATTTATTTTATGGTGGCTGAAAATTTTCTTTATATAACAGAAATTTGCTTTCGGAAATGAAAAAAAATAGCTTTTATTGACACTAGCAAAACAATTCAATGGATATAAGACTGCATATCTGAAGTAGTTTTGAAGTTAATATTGAAGGCAGAAACAGCAGTATTCCTAGCGCGGAACTGGCTATTTCGTAATTCCCTCTTACAGCTTGCTCGTAATCTTTAGTGCTGCCATCTATGGACAATTAATAAAATTAATTTTTTTCTAGTTTGTCTATTTCAGAATTCATTGTTAAAAATTTTGAAAAATTAATAAAAGTTAAATGAAGAAAATTTATAATGGGAAGTTTATAATAGTATTTCATAAGTTTTTCTAAAAGTCAATATGACCGTAAGATTTCGTAAATAAGTTAAGAAGTAAACTACATATATTTTCTATCAAATTGATGTAAGATGCAATAATTCGCTAAACTGCCTTTGATTCTGTATGATGGCCCATCAGGAAGTAATTCAGCATTCTTCCTGGTCAAGGGTCGTCATTGTGAGAGAATACATGAAGTATATCATTGAGATAGCATCACCTCTCTTCACAGCCCTCTCTATAACAAGCCAAGCATAGACAGTAAGTGGAATTGGGACAGGTTTTCAATGAATAAGAAGTGGGAATCATTGTTTCCGAACTAAAAATTGCATTGATTATAATTACTGTGAAGAGAATGGGGTCTACATTACGTTACTCTACTATATTAAATTTAAGATTATAACACATCAAGATGTAAATTTATTTCAGTTCCGAATCGTAAGAAATAAATTGAATTATGCATTGGTGATATATGATTTTGTTCCTAATTTGGAATCACACGAAATTTAATAATGACTATGGAATTCAAATTCGAAATTTTGGTGCAAATTATTAGCCTTAAATTCTTCTTAATAACTACATACATGCTATATGGGTATGTGTAATATATATTCTTCTTAGATATACTATACGTACATATACTTCTTCTGATTTATGTATATTTGTATGCTTACTAGACAGTAAACTGTCAGCATTGTGATTAAAATAAATAAAAATATTAAGCTATCATACAATCATTTTTGATAATGTTTTTAGGTTTAGTTTATTATTGTAAAACACCTTATGGCTATTTGCCTAAATGTATGTATGCCTTCGCGGGGGATTTTCTAATGGAAACTGGCTTGTATACGCGTTACACATAGGAAAACCCACGAAAATATCTATGCAGGCAGCGCGTTCGCCTTGCATCAAACCTAAGTCGGAACTACCAGAGTTCAGCGATTTTACCGTTCGGTTGACCGGTAAATTTTTTAGACACATAAAGTTATTTGTATAAACATGATATGAGGTAAAAACCTGAAGTTTCACTAACAAGGTTTATATAAGATTGCTGACAGTTTATTCAATCAAACATTTATATCTTTCCTTTCTTTAATAAATGCAAACTTTTACCTGAAATATTCACCAGTGTGTCCTAAAATTTCATTTGAATTTTGTGTCTATGCACTTTGAGCATATTTTTATGCTCTGTTAATGTAATTTAAAAATATTTCAAAATTGCATTATTCGTAATGCAGATTGATTAATTTAGTTAAATTTAAAACGCTGTACTGGAAACGGTAGTTTAAAATAATTTCCCAATGCTTTAGTGTCTTTAGAGAGATTTTTGAGAATTAATTTGTTGCACCTTCATAATTTTTAAATAGTGATTATGATAGAAACACATATTTTGATGAATTTAAGGGAAATTAAAACCTTTTTAATAATTGCTACTTTGTAATCGACACATATTTCATTGTTTTTTCTTTAATGACTACTTGAAAATGTTTGATGAATTCGCTAAACTTCAACTATAAATTTACACTGTAGTGATATAGGTTATATAGATAGATTTTGATCTATTCTCAAAGCGCAATTTTTTTGAAATGCACAATAAAAGATTAGAATTGTATGATTGAGATAAAAATATCACTTTTAGCTTGTGTAGTAACAAATATATATATATATATATATATATACGTTTTTTAAACCCAAATGAGTAAATTTAAAAAAAAAATTTAAATAAACCACATCTGAGAAATCAGAATTTAATTCAGTACTGAATAATTAACTAAACTAAATTTATTTGTTCATTTTAATTGAACTGTCGTAATGGGATGATATATAACAGAAATCAAAATATAAATTTTTTTAAGTTGCATCAGTTTTATTTTTATTCCTTCATTTCTGCAAGCATGATAAAAGTTATTTTGAGCAAACAAAAGCATGTTAAATTTATTAATGGAACAATTGCTATCGAAAGCACTGAATTCGTCATATAAACTATTCGTCGTATTCATCTTAGCCTTTTTTGGAAATTTTTCTTTAAAGCAATAAGTACAGAAGTTTGGAATTTGTGCACATATAGACACTTTTAGCTTCGATGAGCTATATACGCATTTTAATGGGACTTTTCAAACTATTTGATTTAAATAATTTGAATAGCCCCCAAAAGTGCATTGGTCTGTTTTTGACTTGGATGCGTACCAGAAATCTTCTAAACAGCATTTGATGTCATTCAGTCAGAAGAATGATTTCAGTGAACTAGTTTGTATACATGCAGTTGTCAAGCAAAATGATATAAACAAAGAAATTACAATACAAATAACAACAGGTTTGCCAGAGTTGTATGTTCCCGAATGTAGAACAATAGCTTTCAGTCTGACAAATTTCTTTACTATTAGAAGACAGATGTTTTTATTAACGGATGCTGTGTCTAATAGTGCGTGGCAAGACCATTAAACCTGATTTGTACTTTAATTCCGTCTTACTCCAGTGAAATGATGACGCAATCACCAAGTTTACCATGTTGCTGGATTAACGAGTGCTTATTTCCCGATTGATATGATGCTTCCGATTCGCTCACGTCGAAAGGAATTGCCTGCAGGAATTTTAAAATACGACGAAGGTCAGGCGTATTCCATGCAAGTCACTTTTCGCTCTGAAAATTTTAGCCTATCTACAGAACTTGAATTTTTAGAGCACTCGTATAATCCTGTATATCGTTACCTGTCAGCTACTTTCTTGGTTCATAACATTTTGTAGTCGGGCTGTATCTTATTAACCTTATCAGGTTTTTCAGAATAAAAATTTACTAAGTGCCTTAATAATAACTCTTTTTCAGTTAGATGAATGTTCACTAAATTCATAAACATTAACTGAAATATAATACTATTGTAAGAAATTAAAGACATTTTTAATGTACTGTTAAAGTGAAATAGTTAGCATTTCAGGTTGGCAAACCGAAAACCTGCATTAGATTTCGGAAAAGGAACGGTTTATTTTTCAACTGCACCTGGCGTCCAACTGTTCTGTTTGTACATCTGAAGCACATTTAAAATGGCAGATTATAATTTACAGTAACCGGAATCGGTCAGTTAGGAATAATCAGATTTTCTCTGTCGCATTTAAGGTGTGATGGGGAATGAAAATGTTTCTTGTAGTTCACATTTATGCTGTAATGAGGAGCATATTCATTCGACACAACAAAGATACCGGCGTTTGCCCCAGACAGGGTACAGTTTACTAGTCTTTGCACTGCAAATTATCGTATAAAATTATCTACAGTGAGGCCTTTCGTAAAATGAATGACTAAGACAGAAGCCATGTTTTCTGTCATGCTTGTTGTAAATAAATTAAATTGTTTGTCTGTTACATTTAGAAGATGTACTAAATGTTGCTTCTGCAAAGTTTCATATACACAAAGCCCGTAATGAGGTTTATATAAGTAAATCATTAGCTGTTAGTTACAACAGAGATTTAGTTGACGATTTACTGCGCTGATAAGAACCTTTTTATCATTATAATATAATGTATGTGTAGCAGAATGGGTAGTTAAATGAAATCATATTTCGGTACAAAATATTTTTTGAGAAGCTAAAAAAGGAAAATTACCAGCGAGTTACATAGCACAATAGATTATTATAACAAGCT